TGGGATCAGGGGACACCTTGGGTGGTCAAGGGACACTGGGTGGTCAATGGACACCTGGGTGTCAAGGGACATCTTGGGATCAGGGGACACCTTGGGTGGTCAGGGGACACCTGCATGGTCAAGGGACAACTTGGGTGGTCAAGGGACACTGGGTGGTCAGTGGACACCTTGGGTGGTCAAGGGACATCCTGGGATCACGGGACACCTTGGGTGGTCAAGGGACACCTGGGTGGTCAAGGGACACCTGGGTGTCAAGGGACATCCTGGGATCAGGGGACACCTTGGGTGGTCAGGGGACACCTGGGTGTCAAGGGACATCCTGGGATCAGGGACACCTTGGGTGGTCAGGGGACACCTGCATGGTCAAGGGACAACTTGGGTGGTAAAGGGACACCTGGGTGGTCAAGGGACACTGGGTGGTCAGTGGACACCTGGGTGGTCAAGGGGACACTTTGGGTGGTCAAGGGACACCTGGGTGGTCAAGGGACATCCTGGGATCAGGGGACACCTTGGGTGGTCAGGGGACACCTTGGGTGGTCAGGGGACACCTGCATGGTCAAGGGACAACTTGGGTGGTAAAGGGACACCTGGGTGGTCAAGGGACACTGGGTGGTCAGTGGACACCTGGGTGGTCAAGGGGACACTTTGGGGGGTCAAGGGACATCCTGGGATCAGGGCACACCTGGGTGGTCAATGGACACCTGGGTGGTCATTGGACACCTTGGGTGGTCAAGGGACATTTTGGGATCAGGGGACACCTTGGGTGGTCAGGGGACACCTGCATGGTCAAGGGACAACTTGGGTGGTCAAGGGACATCCTGGAATCACGGGACACCTTGGGTGGTCAATGGACACCTTGGGTGGTCAAGGGACATTTTGGGATCAGGGGACACCTTGGGTGGTCAGGGGACACCTGCATGGTCAAGGGACAACTTGGGTGGTCAAGGGACATCCTGGAATCACGGGACACCTTGGGTGGTCAATGGACACCTTGGGTGGTCAAGGGACATTTTGGGATCAGGGGACACCTTGGGTGGTCAGGGGACACCTGCATGGTCAAGGGACAACTTGGGTGGTCAAGGGACATCCTGGAATCACGGGACACCTTGGGTGGTCAATGGACACCTTGGGTGGTCAAGGGACATTTTGGGATCAGGGGACACCTTGGGTGGTCAAGGGGACACTTTGGGTGGTCAAGGGACAACTTGGGTGTCAAGGGACATTTTGGGATCAGGGGACACCTTGGGTGGTCAGGGGACACCTGCATGGTCAAGGGACAACTTGGGTGGTCAAGGGACACTGGGTGGTCAGTGGACACCTTGGGTGGTCAAGGGACATTTTGGGATCAGGGGACACCTTGGGTGGTCAAGGGACACCTTGGGTGGTCAAGGGGACACCTTGGGTGGTCAAGGGACATTTTGGGATCAGGGGACACCTTGGGTGGTCAAGGGACGCCCTGGGGAACCTGGGGACACCCCAGGTGACTCCCCAGGTACCTTCGAGCAGGGACAGCAGCATCACCACCATGTCCTTCTGCAGGTCCAGCAGCTCCTTCAGCAGCCCTAGCTGGGACGAGTCCTGCACGCCAGAGCTCCCAGTTACCTCCCAGTAACTCCCAGTACATCCCAGTGCCCAACCAGTGCCCAACCAGTGCCCACCCAGTGCCCACCCAGTGCCCACCTGGGCCAGCTTCTTCATCATGTGTGCGAAGACGTGCAGGAAGCCGACGACGGCGTCCCAGAGGCGGCTGTGGGCCAGGCTCTGCTGGTTCCCAGTACAGGGGCCCTGGGGGACAGCGGGACACTGGGAGGGACCCCCGCGAGCCCCCGGGCCACTGGGAGCACTGGGGGGGTTGGGGGCTCCAGGTGTCTTGAGGGGTCCCACCTGGATGTACTCGGGGAGGCTGTTGAGCACCTGCTAGGGACACCAGAGAGTGGCACAGGGACATGCTGAGGTGGCACAGGGACACCAGAGAGTGGCACAGAGACATGCTGAGGTGGCACGGGGACACCAGAGAGTGGCACAGGGACATGCTGAGGTGGCACAGGGACACCACAGGGACACCACAGAGTGGCACAGGGACAAGCAGGGTGGCACGGGGACATGCTGGGGTGGCACGGGGACAAGCAGGGTGACAGAGGGGACATTGGGACGGTGGGGGGTTAGCAGGGAGGGGACACGCAGGGGACAAGCAGGGACACGGTGACAGGCCACCCCCCCCCCAGCCCCACGGAGCCTTTGGGGACCCCAACCCTGCCCCCACTACGGCCCCTGAGAGCACCTGGAGACCCCCAGCCCTACAGCCCCCCTAAACAATCCCCTATAGCCCCCCAGCCCCAAATCCCCTATAGCCCCCAGCCCTTCAGC